CCACTATAATCTGAAGATAAAACGTGTGTAAGTAAATGTGTGAACCTTAACAGGCCTCTTTAAATTTTGCTACGCTCATTACCATTTACACTTCCATTCCCCTGCAGGTTCCATTGTGTGTCCACTTGGCATGCTGCATTGGTTTGTGACAGTGCTGCCAAACTTTTGGTGCGCTGAAGTGACTATGACTACATCTAATCCAGACCTATTGGAAAAACAAAGAAAAGTGTCTCTGATGTTAGATTTTTTATTTATTTTTTTTAGAATTGTGTATTTTGTACATTTGTTGCCATAAACCAGAAATTGTGGATTTTGTCATGTTTATATGGAATAGCTGACTGGAAATCAAGCTTTAGACCTCTCTGTGCTCCCTGGGAATATAATCCTGACACCTTTTAATCTTAGAACATATTTTTCTTGAATCACCCGGAAAAAGGCAAAGACATCGTCTTCTTTTAATTGAGAATGGTGGGAAAAGACAGAATAAGGGAGAAAAACAGAAATGGAAATGGAGGAGTAAGGCATTAGGACACATAAGGTCATACTGTAAGGGAGGGAAAATGAATGATTGCCCTGCCCTTCAGCTAACTGAGGGCAGAAAATGAAACAATGAGCTGAGAGAGCTCATGTTTCTGCCACTAAAATAGATGGTAGTTACAGATTTGACCCCACACTTTCCAAATGTGTTGTTGACGTGGGAAAGGGATGGGTGTGTATTTCTACACTCAGCTGGAGATAGCATGTAACTGATTTGGGGTGTTAATTCTGTAATTCTCCTCTCCTCTCCTCTCCTCTCTTCTCCTCTCCTCTTCCTCTCTTCTCCTCTCCTCTCTATGCTGGACAATGTTGTAAAATAAGCCAAACACACTGGCTAGCTATAATGTCAAGGGACCGTCATGCCTCATTTATTATTAGTGTAGACTAAAATAACTATATTTCTTGGTTTTTGTATGTTACACTACACTTCTGCACTCCAGGAAGTCTTTACACTCATATTCCCAGTATCCCAAAGCTGAGATTTGTCAGAGAGCAAGAGCATATTGATTTGGTAACATTGTTTATTGATTGGAAAATATGTTTCTGGTCTTATGCAACATCTCAGTGATTCCTTGCAGGTTGTACTTTTGAGTGATGACGATAATGTGCTCCCGGAGAAGTCCCACTGGGATCGCAGAAGCATTAAAACAGTTGAGACTCTGCTGGGTAAGTAAGCTTTCTGTGTCTGCATTATTATTGGATAGGTCAATCCAAGATGGGAAGAGGAAAACGACAAGTGACACAACAGTCATAACATAATTCTTATATACAGACATATAGATTAGAGGATTATTGTGATAAATACACAAGTAATGTCCATCTCTGTGGATTTCTATTCCAAGAGTCCTCCTCCAGTGGGGGAACTCTTGCCTCTTGCCGTGACTGTCAAACACAAAGACACTTCCTGTCTGATCTGTAAAGAGAAAGGCTGCATGTCCCTGGAGCCTGAGTGCAAAACATGAACTATTGACTATATAAGGAGCTTAAGGACTTTTTCACCACAATTCAGATCAGCCATACAGCTTGTAAACAAATGTCAGCCTCATAGTGATGGGGAGTGTTTTTGGAAGAGAAAAAAAAGAAACAAGCAATGTAAATGCAAAGCTATCACACGTGTATGCACTTGTGAGCTGCCTGGGCTTCATTATGAATGAGTGAGAACCTCCAGTAACTCATCCACCATTCACATGCAGCCACAGCCTTTTAAATAGATTAGCGGAGGCTTTGTCTCACCCTGCTCTTTCTCACCGTCTCTTTTCTCTCCTCTGAAACTGTGCTCTTTAGGTGGAGTATCAATTTGTGAAAGAGGCAGTGAGGAAGGGGATGGGGTTGCCATGACAATGCCAACTTTAACGAACTGTGTCTCTCTTCGTGATTGTGGGTTTAATTGGATATCATTGAGGAAGAACACAAAACACAATGGAGTGGAGTGACATGAATGCAATAGAGCTCCGTCTGTCTAGCTGCCTGCCTGTCTTAAAGTCGTACTCTCTCTCTCTCTTTCTCTCTCCGAATGTGTAATTATGAATGATTAATGGCGATTATATAAGAGCTGTAGTACATGAAGTGCATGATGAGTGTTTCAGAGAGGGTGAAGTGATGTAGAGGAAGACAGAGGGGACTTCCAGAGGTGCTTGGCATAAATAAATAACCTACAGCAATGAAAGCTTTTATGTCAACAAGTCTCATGCTTTCAAATAAGTGAAATGTTTTATATATTTATTAATAGGTCATTATTATTAAGAGATTGGTTATTATACTGACTGCACTTTTGTTCTCTGCTCTCAAATGTAATCTTTCTTTTGCTCAGACAGCTTTTCTTTAACATTTGATGAAATCCTTTTGCAGTCGATATGATGTGCAGGCTCAAAAAACCCAGTGATACACCAGCAATTGTTAAATAATTTAATATGCCCATCCCTCGCAGGCACACACAGACACACACATATACACACACACAGTATGCGCTGAGTCATTCTTCCACATACAGTCAAAGTGACTGGGATTTAAAATCAAAACGTATTGCTTCGCAGCAAAATGCAGATGGTTTGACACAAAGTATTTCAAAACTAAAGCAAACAAAATGTGCTGCAAGGTTATTGTACTTAACTAAACTAAATATATATATATATATATATATATATATATATATATATATTAAACTAACTGAAACACTATTGTGTACCAGACTAAAAATGTATGCAAATGTAAGAAACAGAAAAAGGTGCACTAATGCTGCAAAAGCACTGACTGTTAATGAGACATTCGTGAGAGACACACCAACTTTTATGTGAAATGTAAAATATCAATTATTGAGCATAATCACGTTGCCTGCTTTAGGAGTACTGGGGCTCTTTGTCTATGTGAGGTTGCAGCGTGTTGTGTGTATTCAAACACAGCATTGCTTCAGCAGACAACAACTTATCGAGGCCAAGGTAATTCCACTAAAGTTGGCCTTGCTATTAATGAATATCTCTAATAATAGAAATCTGATGAAATGTGATGCAAAAAAAACCAGCAACAAACATTACAATATTCAGTTCATTCAATTGTTGATTATTTTAATATATTAGGAGACCTTTCCCGGTCATCTATTATCATCAGCATCATGTTGGTTTTGCAGCATCTTATCAGGCAGTTATGTTAATACTGATCCATTTTTACTCATGCTTATTTAGCATGCTGTTTTACGTTAGACTGAAGTCTACAGTGTAATTTAATGCAATTCAAGGGCATGTACTGTACAGTTTTCAAAGAATCCCTTCCCACCAGTTTGAGGTGGCTAATGTCTTCCCTCGCGGCAGCTCATTTGATGATCCGTATAGTTCCTTTCATTTATTATGAGGTGGAGCTCCACTTGCTCCTACCTTTTTCCCATCTTCCTCCCCCTGCTCATACAGAAGATGAGCTCTGGCGTAATAACTGGAACCTGTCCGCCAGGGCACCTGAAGGTCTTTACTGTTCAGTGCTCTACTGCTCTTCATTCTTATTTGTCCCTCCTCTCTGCAGTCATTCACAGGAGTTTGTGTACGGCTAATTTATTTTGTAGCATGTGCCGACAGATCAAAGACTATGTAGACAATGGCCTGGAAATGGAGTTGAAACTTGGTTTTACTGCTTTCTATCCAACTTAGTTCAACCTTCCTGTAGTTTATCTGATCAATATTATGCTTGATGATTTTAATTAGTCACTGTGTATTCTCATCACTAGGCGGATGCTCCTCATGATTATCAATAGTAAGGAGGAAAAGGATGAAAGGTGGGCAGCCTCATTGTATATGTACTGTTCTGTACTGTAAGGTGACTAATATGCATAATCTACATTATGTTTATTGTCCAGTGCTGTCCCTTTTTCAATGTGAGATCTTAAATTTGGTTGCTTTTGTATAAACATGTTTCCTGACAGAATTTTCAGTGTGACTATAACAAAAGTGGAAGATGACAAAGTCAGATGAGTCATCTTTGGTTTGTAAGTGCTGCCCTCTATTGGTTACTGTGCCTTGTTGCAAACTTTCAAATAAAGCATAAATAGATTACTTTAGTGAAGAATAAAAATCTGTAATTATAAAAGTCTGATCACAATTTAAGAAGAATAATGTAGAATTTATGGTATAAAATGCATTGTATTAAAACGTCAAACCTACTAACTGTATAGTGTGGTGAATATTTAATATGGTATAATATTCCTATGTGTGTGTCCTTAATTTTTGCATCATTTCTTATAGAAACAGTTTTAATTAAGGGAACATAATGTATTTATTTACTAAACTGTATCAAACTAGGATTCTGGGTGGAAATGACTGTCAGCCACAAGGTGGTGCTGATAGACAGTGAAGAATAAAGGGCTGCTGCAAATAAAACTTCAAGAGGTTATTACATAACAATTCAGACAACCAATAGCCCTCTGATTGACCACAATAGTTTAATTTCCATACACAGATCCTTACCTTTCACCTTTATATTCATACTAATTACTGAAACATCATAACTCAGTGCAATCAACATTATGCAGAGCTTATATTAAGCATAATATAGGCTAAACGTCCATGTGAGTGTAGTGGTCACCATTTACAAAGAGCTGTCTCCCTCTTTCATGCAGCTGAAAATGGCCAGTACAGATAGTTTAGTTTGAACAACCATCACTGGCCCCACTGTGGTCCTCCTCTCAAATGAACCCTGCCAAATGCCCCCCTTACGTCACACTTTTTCTCCTCCATGTGTGGAATGCTATAAATGTGGGAGGGGTGGGCAGCACATGTAACAGTGCTCAGTTCAAATTCAATTTGCCCCGAAGACTGTAAATCAAGACCGCCGATTCCTTGTACAAAGTAGGATTGGCCGATGGAGTTCCCCTTCTACATATTATAGTTTAAAACAGATGTTTATTACGAAGGGCAGGACCGCCATCTCCCCACCCACTTTATCACCATTTTTTACTGTCGTCAAAGGTTCTGCGCTATCAAGACAATTCACGCCCCACACCAACCAGAATAGTAGCCATCGTCTCCTTCGTGGGGTAGCGTACAACATTTTTTTTTAAAAAATTGTATCGGCACAGAAAAGGTTAGTTAAAAAAAGGTAGGTACAATTTCACTTTTCATGTAAAAACCGATAAGAATATATATATTTTTTTTGGACACCAGACATACCGCGCATGCTCACAACGGGGGCTTCCGTTAAGTTTTATAGACACATCTCTAAACGATAAATTGAGTGTGCCTCAAAGTTTGTATCTGTACACCTAAACGTAAGCTTGTTTAGATACAAATATATTTACCATTTATAGTATAATCTTCCCCCCTCCCCAAAAAAACCCTTTTATCGACTCCTAGCAAAAAAACACGATGTTTTGTGTTCCCAACGGACGTTACACGAAAGAGAAAGTGGTCGAGCGGCGCCATCTCGTTCTGGCTCTGTACTCTTTGTTGGATGTGTGCCGTGGATGACAACTGTCCGCCCGTCGCAACAACAGCAGCAGCAGCGGCAGCAGTGTATTTATCATCGCAGCAGCCGAGGGGGAGTGAAGTGAACCGGAGGAAGGAGAGAGAAAAGGATTTACGGACACCGACCAAGCATGGCTACCCAAACGACAGCATCATGCACTGGATCCACTCTGCTGCAGCCAATCAGCGAAATTATCAATCTCCCTCTTGACCAGGTATGCTTTTTCTTTTTTGGATGGGGAGAAGAAAAAAAAAAACTCGAAACCGTCCGAGTTGGTACTGTTTTTTTTTTTAAAATAAAAAACAGCACAGTTGTCGTAGTTAGCTAGCATGTGTGCATATAACGTTAGCAGAGGTTGAAGATGCGCAGCGCTATTTCTCCCAAACGTTAGCTAAAGCCTCTACACATTGCGGATTTATTGAAAAAAGGAGCGCACAAAATCAGTGTTGGTGTTTCACTGTCACCATCAACTAGTCCTCCTGTCCAGCTACACTTCAGCTAATGCCTTTTGTCTCTCCCCTTTCGATGCCAGAGGCTACCAGTGGTTCCCAAAGTGGGGTCCGAGGACCCCTCTTGAGATCCCATTTTGATCTGCTTTCCATCGGATCACCGGTGTAATCTGGATTAACTAGTTACATTTTACCTTAACATCCACTTGAAGTTAGCTAGAGTAGTAGTAGTAGTGTGTGTTTAGGCCGCAGTGATTAATCTGCCATATTCACAGTTTTGTCATTGCTGAGAAACAGGCAACAACATGTAGTTTAATGTAGGAGCAGATTTTAGCTGCACAGTTGGTTTCTCAGTAGTTTCATCTATTTTAGTATATGTTACTAGGGGTTATTGAGTGGCCCTTGAGTTCACAGCCACCTCAAGCACCATCTAGTTATCCATGCCATTCATATGTTATTGTGAGGCAACGCCTATGTAAAATCCATAACTGTAGCTGTATCACAGATCATGGAGTTTTACATTGGTAAACCCAAGCAAGGTCAAATGAGTTGTGGTTTGTGGTGTTCATTCAGGCATACATTACTTTGCTGGTCAACATTGCTTGTCTGTAATAAGAGAGGGCACCACAGTTTCTCTCTGTCAGCCTCGCTGAAACGGGTTGGGTAACTCCTGTGTTAGCTGTGGTGACTCTGGAATTATGGGATTACATCAGGGAGTGATAGTTTTTCTGAAGTGGAATTTGTTTGAGTATGGGTGCAAATGTTTGCATTGTAAACACTTTCGCGTTCACAGGCACCACGCCTACACCATCACAAATGGCTATCTATGCAAAGAACATTTTCCTAGCAGTGATTTCAAAGCTCGCCCAGGCTGTGGCGTTCTGTGGAAGTGTCCGGTCTTGTTAGCACGGATCAGTAGCTCAGGGTTTGTTAGACAGGCTTCTGCAGCACCACTTTCTTCTCTGTTCTGCCGTTACCTCAACTGGTTTGTTGTACCATTAGGGCTGGCTATTGTTAAGAACCTCACGATTCGATTTTGATTCTTTAGGTCACGATTCGATTCAATATCGATTTCGATTCGATATTGATTTTAAATGCTTCGATATTGATTCAGTAATAAGTAAATTACAGCTTCGGGACGGCGACTTCCACCATGTGTTTGCGCGTTGGTATGGTGTATTGTGGTTCTAGTGTGTATACCATCTTCGTAAAAGTCCTTACATATGAAGACAGCCACAGACTCTGTGATCTTCTGTGCGCGGGCAGAGTTTGGCGGCATTTTGCAAAGGGACGATCTGTTGAGTTGCGTCTGTTTTGAATCCGCGGGTTGCTGCAGAGCATCTGCATGGTGTTGGCTTAAGTGGTTGCCCACATTTGTTGTGTTATTGCAGTATTTTAGTTCTGCCTGGCACAGCTTACACACTACCTTACTTTGGTCTATTTCCTGTGTTCTGGGTTTACACTGCTTTTAAAGTTGAAGGCACTGGTTTAACACTGCTGCTACCTGCTTCGGTTGCCATGTTGTTGTTGTTGTGTGGTTGAATGCGGCCTCCGTCCGTACAACGCAAATCACACAAAGGTGCTCACCGTGCCCCCACTGGCCAGCGGCTTGAATCGATTCGGAGGATTTAATGAATCGATATTGAAGTGGGATAAAATATATTGCAATGCATTGATGAATCGATATTTTTACCCACCCCTATGTACCATGATCTGTGGCTTCGTCTGAAGAAAGTTAGAAGCATCCCATGTTAACTGCAGCGGTTTCCTGCATCTACGTGATGATTTTCATTGTTTTCTTATGGGGGACTTTGATTTGTTGCACTGATACCTGCCACATAGCAACAAATATCGCTCCTGTTGTAAGATTGTTGTAAGATCTTGTGCTGAAAAGTACATTTTGTTCTGGAATGAAACTTAATGTTTTGCAGGGAATTCACTGTCATGCCCCTTAATTGCCACCATTAGTATGAATAACCCTTTCTTCTTAGAGCAACCGTATTTTCTTTATAGTCACAAATGGACTCTTATTTTTCTTCTCATGCTGGCATAGTTTTGCGTTGCATTTTTGTCCGATGTCATCAGTAGCAGAATCGCTTGTTTTTATCTTTTTCTCTTTCCTTATCAGCGTGGGGTGACATTCAGATGAGCCCATTCCCTCCCCTTGCCAAGCAATTTTGCATGCAAGCTATAAGCTCGTGACTCAGTATTCTCCTCCCACTGGACCTGAGCAAAGCTTTGTTGTACACACCTGTGTGTTTGGTGGTAGGATGTTTGCATTTTCAGTTGGGATCCGGTTAGAGTTGGAAAAAGGGTTGGTGGTTCAAAAGTCTACCACCACCTGTATGTGAACAATTTAATGTTCAAAATCAGGAATTTAAACAAACATATCCTTTAGCTATGTACTCAGCTACCAAACCATGTGACTAACCTATAACTCTGTATCGGTCTTTCAATCCTCATACCTGCATGTGCAGACTGGAACGTTTCATTATGTCTCTCCACCCTAAAAGGCTCCAGCCTCAGTTAGGAATGTTGCAGGGTGGGAACTCGCTTTAAATGATCTGTTCAGCATCATGAACACATGTTCTGAACTTGGAAAGGAGATCAAGTGCCCTCATACTGTGCCTCTAATATCTGTCACAATGGGCACACGTCAACGGGAGCTCTCTGCTTTGTATTTGTAGTTTGTTGTTACAATATATATTAACAATAAATGAGTATTATGATAATTTAATTTGCAACTGGTTGGAAGAAAACCTTATTAAAAGTACTCTCTAAAGGAACATACAGCCAAAGCTTATGGGAGATCTTGTGTTTTGGTTAAGCCACTGCATCTACTGAGCATATCACTTTCTAACCAACATTACTATTATAACGTTATTATCTTGTAACCTGTAATATTTAGTAATATAATAATACTTATTTTGTCCATCCCATAGATTTACCTAACTTACGTAGGGTTTAATAATAGTTGCATTGCTAAAAAGCCCTTTACCTTAGTGCATAGCCCTGTAGTCAGAGGAAGTCTGGTAATTGCAGACAACCACTGTCATAAATTTGTTTATTGAAATATGTGTATTGACATTTAGAGTTATGTGCCTCTGGATATTCTTAGTTGTTTCTATTTGAAGGAATATTGCCTGAGTAAGAGAGAATGGCATTGTACAAATTGGGCATATAATCAAGGGATATCACGGCCCACACTACTTTGTTGGACAGGTGTCACCCTTGTGACAATGTGGTTTGTTAGCTTCCTGCCAACTGGGTGCCCTGCTGTGCCAGGGCGGCTGTCAGCGCCACAGAAATCAATGTAGCCACTCAGATACAGTATGATCTGTGTGGCCCACAGACATTGACACTCATTTTTATGAAGCTGCCATGGTGTGGCACCTCACTGTATGTTGTTAGGACTGTATGTATCCCATGGGAGAGACAGGCCTCTGCACTGGCCTGTGTCAGAGCTATAATGGGAGCTGTGAAATCTGAACTGACACTCTTCTTCTCTCCCTTTCTTTCTCTCTCTATCACACACAGCCTGTCCCCTCTCAGTAACATGCTGTTACTACTTGGACTAATTCCTCCAACTGCATCTTTGTGCACCCACACAAAACACTATGTTCACCCACTCCGGTTCAGGGGTTCTGGTAGGAAGAAATGTGATTTATAGGTTCAAATTACGCACCCTGATTCCAAGCTGCATCTGCCCCAGGTCTGGTTGTATTTTGCTGTTTTGGACCTGCTTGTCATAAACCTTGAGCGGAGCGAAGGCCATATCCAGTATGAAGTGCTGCTCTTGAAGACATTGACCTGACAGTGTTCGTCAAGAAAATCCATAACATTTTACTGCATCTCATCTGGCCTCCCCCCACCTGTAGCGTAAGCATCCATCTTATGTCCAATGGACCCGCAACCAATTTCTCTGGCACAAAAGACAACCTTTAAGTTTAGTTCTTAGATCTCTGATGTTATTGAACGACAGATACTGATCCATCCCAATCCCAGTAGGACTTATCACAGTGTTTGACCATTACACATTCACACAATGAAGCGGAGCTGCCTTTGCTGATGAGCTTGCATTTTCAGGGGCAGCGTGTAACTGAATCAGGTCCAGTAACTTTGGGTTGAACATTTGCCGTCAAAGTCGACGATGCATGTCAACATCATGCCAGTGTGGTTTTCATGGTGACGTAATTTGCGGTTTCGTTTCAGGTCCAGCTTTGTTTTTCCTCAGTAATGCAAAGGCATCATAAAGTGCAATATCCAGTTTCAGACTGAAATGTGAAAATCAGCTGACTCATTCAGCCTCATGAGTGCCTTGTAGTCATCAAGTGCTGGGTGGTTCCAGAAATGGTGCTACTTAATGTAAATCAGAAATAGCCCTGTTAAGTGACCCAAGCAATCCTTCTGAAATGTATGACTTGCCAGAAAAATGGCTACTTTAAGTTTTCAAAATAACTAGGTTAAGAAAGTTATCAAACAGAAACATGGACATTAAGTTTTTCATTTATTATGGATCTTTCATTTATTATGGAAGTGTCTTTCCTCTGAGAAGGGACTTGTGCAACTCTGTAGGTCGTAGCGTCAGCTGTCAAGTCCTTCTACAACTGCAGCTGTTTCAATATGCAGCAGCTGGCCTCCTGATGAATCCCCCACACTGGCTTTTTCCACACATATACAATGGACCTTAACAACTTGCTGTTTGTTTGCGCAGCTCCTCATTGTCTTGCATCCTAATATATTTATTGTTTCGTGCCCTTATAGT